CCGTTCTGGCCCATTCCCCCCCCCTCAACCACTATATATACGGGATAGTATCTCTTGTAATCTCTCATTTACTTGATACAGCTATCGTGCTGTGACGGTTCCACCTGAAGACGGAAGCTTGTGTTGACTCCGAAACGTCGTGATTTTTATTTTATTTTTACTTTACTTTTATTAATTTTTTACCTACGTGACTTTACCAAAAACCTAAGAACATGATTACCTCACTCGATGGTCGGTGTGCGGGGTCAGGGGAGGGTGTTGCCACCGGCACCAGCATCTCCGCGAGCAGCCTGATGGTGACGGTCGACACCAGAGTAACGGCCACGGATGTGAAGCGGGGGCGATCCGGCTCCTATCCAAGGAACGGAATCCGCTCCCCGCTGCCTTCCACGGTGGCGCATCGCTGGCGGGGCTGTACATTGAGCCCCAACTTTTTCAGCAGGTCGGTACCTGCAATACACTCATGGCACAACACGCTCGAGACACAGAACTCCTGGGTACACACCTGGTGTCCGAGACGGACCTCAAGGGTGACCCTCCCCAGCAGTCCCATCCCAGCTCCGCTTGCAGTGTGCAGCGCGTGATCCGGGGCTTGCAGGCGGCCCACATCATCCCCGAACATGCTGCAGTGTGTGGCGCTCACGAGTGAGGCCACCGCCCACTTGTCCAGCAGAATCCCGGTACGCCGCCCATTTATCTGCCCTTCCACCAGCGACGTGGCCCCCGTGATTCCCGCCACCAGCTCCCGCAGCCAGTCGCCCTCAGTCGCCGCCTCCTTGGATGTTGTTGTCGGCATCTGCGTGGATGTCACTCGCTCACCATTATTATTATCATATTTTCGTGCTGGGACTGTGTCGATTGTACCCTTAGTTGGTCCACTCTCTAGGGGGCGTTGGTGTTTCACCCTAGCGCGTGTCTAGCAAGGGCGATCTGGGGACAGTCTCTCACGAGATGCCCCCGACGGTCGCATAGGTAGGGTGGCGGCTCCGTAGGAGGCCCGCTGCCCACTCCCTCTTCCCCCCCCATGCGCATCTGCCCGAGCTCTGCCTCTAACTAAGACACCCGCTCAGTCAGTCCCCCTACCCTGGAGCGTAGCCCTTCCATCTCGGATTGGATTGTCTCCACCATAGACTGCTACTTGGGTCACCTCCCCGCGTACTCGGGTCACCTCCTTGCCTACGTGGGTCACTTGCTCGCAGGTTTGGGTTACCTCCCCGCGTACTTGGGTCACATGGCCGGCTATATCCCCTATGCCATTCTGTAGCCCCGCCACCCATCCTGGGGCTGTCTCGCAGGGCCCTGGAGGCTCCCTTGCTCCCCCCCCTTACCATCCTGGCGACGAGCTCCTCCTCCTCTTCCTCCTCTGCGAGAAGGCTCGCGATGGCGCGCTCCCGTCCCAGCCCTCGGAACTGCGTGGGCACACTGGCGAGTCTCTCGCATGCACGTGCGCGCTCAACAAGGGTGTTAAATAGGAGGTGCGCTTAGCTTACATCGGGCTGCCACCACGCGGTGCCAGCCAGATATCGCTGGACCTTCTCGGCGGCGAGGTCCTCAATTATTTCCGCAGCATACCCCAGGCGTGCGATCTGCGTTAGCGAGCGAATGTCCTCGGCGTAGTTGCGGAGGTCCTCGCTGGGCTGCCGGCGGTGCGCATCTAATGCCGCCTTCGCCTCCTCCTCATTACGTGCGCCGAAGCGTTGGTCGAGTCGGTGTATTAATTCTCCCCACTGCGCTTGCGCGTGTGCGCGCTTGCGGGTAGCGCTTCTACAAAGTCGGCTGCCCATCCATACAAATGCATATTCAGCTGTTGTAACGCTTGCGTGTCCGTCCAGCTGTTAATATCTTTCGCGTATGTGAGGTTGCGGGCAAACGACTTCCATGACGGAATCCCTTGCCCGGTGAATACCGATCTTACCCTAGCTTGGGGTGGTGGGCCTCTCTCCCTTGGAGGTCTGAGGGTCGTACCACCTCTGACGCCATTATGTGGGGGCTGATGCTCCCCTCCTCCTCTCCCCCTTCCTCCTCTCCTCTTTCTGCCGGGCTGCCGCCGATTGGGTGATCGGCCTCCCCGCACCAGCGTCCTCTCTGTGGGGCATGACTCGTGACTGGCTCTCCACCGCCTCGCATTATCCTGACTCCATCCCCCGCGTAAACCACCACTCACGGTGTGGTGGCTGCATGCACGCGCACAACCGTACCTGCTGCTCACCACGTGCACGCGCAGCCACCCGTACCTGCTGCGGTGGCTGCGTGCACATGCATGCCTGCTCAGGTTGCTTGCCTCGACTCGCGCTAAAAATTGCTGTATGAATATGCCCGCGCCTCTGCCCCCTCCTACGTCAAGAGCGTAGGTACACGCGCGAGCGCAAGTCCCGGGCACACGACGATCGAATCGATGGCAATATTCGCGCGTTGCACCGCTGTGCGTTATCGTCGCTACGTGGACACACTGCGTAAAACGCGTGTCGCTATGCGGACACACTGTGTAAAATGCGCTGAGTAAACCCGCACGCGAGCGCAAGCACCGGGCACAACGACGATCGGATTGATGATAATATTCGCGCGTTAATCAGCCGTACCAAACACGTACGGCGAGCGCAAGCACGCGGGCGCAGTTAATGAATTACTACCCGCGCTGCCTCACGCACACACACATAAATCACACGGCAGCATTGCTCTGTGCTAAACTTTATTACTGGCTCGCCTGAAGAAAAACCCTGCATGACCCGGAGCAAAATATTCAGTGAGCAGCTTCCCACCTATCTCTATCCAACCCCTCGGGGAACCCTCGCGCTATTCCTCACCCCTCGAATGTACTCACGGTATCCCAAATCGGGCCCGACCTTCCCACCTGCGCAGGGCTGGACAGCGAGTGATTCCCCTGCTGGCCAATCGGGCGCCTACCTGGCATGTGGCTCTCACTTGCTTCACAATTCGTTGTTTACGTGCCCGTCGTTTTCCTTCCACTTGCTTCCTAACCCATTGTCTATGTGTTCGTCCTCCCTCCCGTACTTTCCGTTGAGATTTAATCTTTAGCCAGCTCACTAGGTGTTTTGCTCTCCCCACGGCCCTATTCCCCTGTGTTCAGTGTGTTCTCGTTGTGGTTTCTCGGTGAGCTCGCCGTGGCCATACAATTTTAAGTTAATCCACGGGGCCGCAGTGCAATTCGGCCTGGGGGGGGGGGGGGCGGACGGCCAATCTCCTGGCACTGGGAAACCGTGGGACATCCCCACGAGTAGGCCCTCGGGTAAAAACCCAGGGTGCCTAGGTGACCCTCCCATGAGGCCCTACATGGGTGTATGTGTGTGTTTAGAGGGGGTGTGCGTGTGTTCGTGTGGGGGGTTGCGAGGGGATAGCAGCGCTGGCAGAGTTGCTCCGTAGCTGCGGCACCACACAGAGCTTCCTAATATCGGAATGAAGAGCGTTCCAGACGGCCGTGGAAGCACATCTGAGAGCGCGCAATGCAGTATTGGATGCATATGAATGTGTAGCCCACACAAAGGCGTTTGGAAGCTCTGTGTATGGTCTTCAGTAAAGAAAACGTTTCAACACCCATGACGAAAGACAATGCATCATTTAACCTAATCTAATTGTACCTATTTATAGAACACCTCTACGCAAGGTACTCTATGACACAGAATGGAATGATGCAGTTGGCAGGGGCCATGCTACATAGATTTAAGAATTCCGATTCCAAAGAACACAGGATGAGATGTTACTATCCTTTGTGCAAGCACTTCCAAGAGTTCATGAACAGTGAGCCTGGTGAAATTTGGGGAGCGCATCGTCAGTAGTGACCCTTTGGTTCCTAGGGTGTTTCGGCCTTTCATACTATACACCCTCTCCAAAGGCGGCCAGCGACAGGGTGATCAATCCTACGCTTGCGTCCCATTCCCAATTAGTCATAGGAGTTGCCTTGTTGTTGATAGCCAACATCCCATGGGACTATGCATGGCAGGGGCGTCCTCCTCCCTGAGTCAAGCATTGTGGACTGCATACCTCCTGGCCCACTCACTTTGGGGCCCAGCTGGGGTCTTTCCTCTTCATCCAGAGCCACTGACTGCTGCCTTCTGCCGCCTCCGATACAGCTCTGATTGCCGAACGCTGGCTCTGGCCCTTAATTCCCAGGTCTCTAAGCAGTCTGGTTGTAGATGTTGCCACAAAACCTCTGCAGCCCACCTCCACTGGTCGGACTTCTGTGTTCCAGCCATGATGCCGTGCTTCGGCAGCTAGATCGGCATAGCGCAGATGTTTTCGCTCATAAGCCTCATCTACTGAGTCCTCCCAGGGTACTGTGAGCTCAATGATGAAGACCTTCTTGAGCGAACTGGACCAGAGCACCATGTCAGGTCTTAGGGTGGTGGTTGCGATCTCCGGAGGAAACACAAGTTGCCGGCCAATGTCAGCTAGCATTTTCCAGTCGCGGGCCAAGCGCAGCTGGTCTCGCTCTATTGGTGTAGAGAATAAGTGACAGCGATAGAGGGGGAACTCAGAGGATCACGAAGGGGTAGTGGAGGGGCGGGAAAGAGTGGAGGGGTGGAGGAAGAGAAGAGGAAGGGAATGGGTGATGTAGAAGAGGTGAGGCTTTAAGAGAGGAATGGAAGGAGGTAAAGGAGGGGGACTGCTTAATGTCCAGGGGCAGTGTTGAGTCTATGGGCTGCAGTGTTAAGTCTATGGGCTGCAGTGTTAAGTCTATGGGCTGCAGTGTTAAGTCTATGGGCTGCAGTGTTAAGTCTATGGGCTGCAGTGTGAGTCTATGAGCTGCAGTGTTGAGTCTATGAGCTGCAGTGTTGAGTCTATGGGCTGCAGTGTTGAGTCTATGGGCTGCAGTGTGAGTCTATGAGCTGCAGCGTTGTGTATATGGGGGAGTTCTGCTTAATGTGTTGATTCCAGTGGAGGGGTGTACTACTCATCCTTTTAGTGAACGATCATCTTTCAAACGTAAGTCACGTATGGTATTGTGTGTATGTGCATTGTGGATGATCCCCCAAACCTCACAGATCTTGGTTAAGAATGGCTACGATATCCAACTTTACCGGCGGGTGGAGTGGGCTAGCAAGAAGTCCAACTGCGACGCAACCATTCGCATCAATGACGCGGAGATCGGGGACTCCGACAGCTACCAGTGCAAGGTGATTCGCCAGCCCTCCGACGATCAGGGCTTCAGTGTGGTCAGGCTGAGAGTCTCCGAGACTAGAGGTGAGATGGACGGATGGACACATGCGCAACGGCTCAAGTTGTTTGGTCTTTTAATTTGTTAGATTAGCAGCAATGAGAAGGGACACTTGCGTTGTTTGGACACACACACACACGTATGTAGAAAAGATGGACAATGGGAAAATAAAAATTGGGGTGGTGTTGTTCTGAAAAATGGAAGGAACCGGTAAGAGAGGGGGACTCTTAACAGAGAATAGCTTAACGACGACATTCGGAGATTGTGCCAGAAAGATGTGGCCACTATTTGATACATATTGGCACTACAAGACAGAGGAAAGTGGAAACAAATGACTAAATGTGCAGTGAACACACAACTACTACGGGCTATCTGTCCATGGCTCCTATGGTGTTTACCTCAAAATTTAGAATCAACGTTACCAGTTTTAGAGTATTTGGCTGCTATGCATTTCCGTGTGATAGCTATATAGTCAGTCACTTCTGAATAAGAACTACATAGCTCAGTGGGCCTTGAACCTTAAAAAAATATAAATTGTTTGTTTGCATCAGTGGATTCATCAAGGCCGTGTCACAACACTCAGCCAATGCTGGGTTTGAATCCAGGTTTTTCCCTCACCTGGGCCATGCAATGAGCGTGCGGTCGTTTAAATTTTAATCAAATATATCCTGTCTGGTTTTATCTATAGATCTGGTAGTCCGTGCCCCTGAGGAAGTTACGGCGGTGCAAGGAGACACCGCCTTCCTGCCATGCTCCTACTTCTGTGGCGTCAAGGGCAATAACGACACGCTGGTGGAGTGGTACAAGACCATAAACGGAGAAAAGAAAAAGGTCAGTGTTGGCGAGTGGTGCATTGCAAGCAGCGCGTTCCTCCCGTTCCCCCCACGGGTGAAGACATCTCTCTGGAGGCATGGCTGGATTCCTTTATTGTAACGAGGTTCTCTTCTGCTGAATCTTGGGGGTGGCATAGTACCACTGCGCTGCTTGAAGCGAGTAGTCTCTCCCTCCACCTTTCTGAGCTGAACTCAGAAAGGTGGAGGGAAAGTATGAGCACCCAAAGGCCTCATGTAGATTATTTGTTTTCATGGGGTGTTTCTTTGCCCCCCCCCCCCCCACCATCTGCCCTTTATCCAATTTCCTACCCCCCTTGCTGGCCTAGATTTTCCCTCATTAGGTTGGGGTTTTACTTCCCCTCAAACTATCTCAGCCATGACAACCTCGACTCTCACTCCCTGCATATGGCTGGCTCAGTTTCATCACGACAGTTCTTCTCCTCGTGCGATTGGCGACTCCCAGGAGCTTTGTGAACCATGCAAAGGGCTGTAACGTGCCTCGCGTTTTGTTAAATAAAAGGCAAAAACATATACCAATACGAAGTCACCTGGCTACGACTTGAGCTGATCATCGCCACTGCTCTTTGGTGGTGTGGTGAGTGTGGGGAAAGGCGCTGCCCTCTCTGTGTGTGTGGACCAGGTAGAAAGGAAACCCTCATAGTTAACGGCGGTCATCCAGCTCCACGTCAATTTAACAGGAAGGATATTCTCAACTAATATTATTATTCGTGACGACGTGTTTTTGGGTTAGATCGCACGAGTGAATTTTAGGGCGGAAGTAGGAAGACTTATTCACAATTCTGGCAATCGCCCGATGATGGTGCTGGTTGTAATCACCAGCGAAACGTCACAATTACTCGCATTGTAAACATTGTTGTGGGTTTAACTCTCCAACACAGCCGCTATGCTGAAGTAGTAACTAATTGTCACGTTTTATTCAAGTGACTAACCTCACCGATTTGGCTTTGTCGGGTGGAGGTAATGTTTACAACACATTTACATTTACGCGATCTAACCCAACAACAATAAGCCTTGACATGGATCCACATTAGTTCTCTCTAACATGAAAGGTTGGCACTGCTCTGCGAGATTTTAAAAGCGACACTTTACTCCTTGACATGACACCAATAACACAGTAAGGATACAACCGGGTGTTGGGGGGGGGAGAAGAACATTTCATGACTTAAAATGTCACACCTCTGCTGGACCAACACAACTCAGTGCAGCCTCCATTCTGCGTAGTTCCCATGCAGTCTGAGACAAGACAATTCCCCAGCAGTTGGTACGTTGCTGGATGCCATTGGAATCAAAGTTAAAAACAAAGATTAAATGGGCTCAAAGATTAGCATTCGTCAGCAGTAATGAGCTCTTCATGATTTCCAATTATCTCTCGACAGTAAAGAGAGAAAATAGAGCGTTGAAACAGACGCCCGTGACGATACTGGCGTGCAGTGTGGTTGCTGTGCGGAGCAGGAACTTGAAATCTTAGAAAGGAAGACGAGACGCTCGGGGAAGTCTCGAGATGTGGTTATGAAAATCAGCAAGATTAGTATATTAACAAGCGGTACGAGTTAAGGAGTAAGTTCTTGAAAATGTTAAGTAGGAGTCAAATATAGTTTTAAAAATGCGGAAGAGGCAATATATATGTTACAATGTAGGAGATGAAAGCGTGATGAAGGAATTTTCTGGAAGGTAGGTAGGATGTTGAAAAAAGAGGCCAAGAAGAATACAACGTAAAATGTTGCTTCACAAATTGAATGTGGGGAGGGGTGAACAGTGAACTGAAGAAGACAGCCTCCTGATTCACCAGACAGCTGCCAATTCCACAGAGGTGTGGGGGCCGTTGGCCCCCGGGGTCTCTCCCTCACGCATCCCCTGTTCCAGTTGCGTTGCCGCACCGCCCTATTACCCGCTAGGGTTTCGCCGACATTCGAACGCGACGCCCCTACTGTTACAGCCTCGCGCAGCGCTCCCACGCTGCGAGCGTACGTACGTACAGCATCATCAATCAAGCACCATACTCCCCCTCACGCAGCTTCGCGCAGCACTCACTCGCTACGAGTATACGTATGCCCGTCTACAGCCCTGAGCAGCACTCGCCTCAACGCCGAATAACCACGTTACCAATCGCGCACCTGTATCATACACGGAGCGAACGTACGCCCACACCCACACACAGCTCCACACGCGATACTCACTCTTGCGCCGCTCTGCGCAGCGCTCCCACGTGGCGAGCCGCTGTATACACAGCACCACACACGTTCACACTTCTCAGCGAGATCACACGAGGCCACGATCAGCTATTAATGATTTATTGTCTGCTACCTGGGACTTGTTGTTAAGTCAGTATGAATCAACGAGGCTGGCCTACGCTGATACCTTTATGCCTATTCCCGATTTATCTGCTTATGATCCTAATTCACCTTCTTACTCATGGTTAGGTGTCCACGGCGGTCCGTTGATCCCGTGCTCGCAGCGTACCTCGATGCGTCGCACGGACGTCCGGGTCGCTGGGCTGGAGAGCGTCTCGTGGCCTGATGCTGGAGCAAGAGAGACCGATCTCCCGTTTTCGCCCCCTTTTTATCGTTCCTACATCAAAGGGATGATGCTCCGACCATGGTGGTGGCCCCCTCCCAGTTTTTCTTTAACAATGGGCGTGCGGCGGTTCCGGGCGCGCTTGCTATGCTAATCAGATGCGCTGCGTGTGTGGCGTTTATTCTAATTATGCTCCTCCATAACATGCTTATGCGTGGCGCTTATTCTAATTATGTTCCTCCATCACAATGCTTATGCCCCTCTGCCTGCCCCGTTGATACTTGCGTGTGTGGGGTGTGTGGGGTGTGTTTCACCCGCGGTGGCCGAGTGGCCCCTCGCTGCGACCTTGCAATCTTAATGCCGGTCGCAGCGCCGCGAAGTAGCATCGGGGGAGGTCGTCCAATTCCCTGGTCACCGGAAACTGTGAAAGTTATCCCGATAAGGGTTTCTCGGATTAAAACTGCTCGGCCAGGTGACTTCCCCTCGGAGCTCTATGGGGGGGGGGAAATGCGTGCGGGTGTGTTCATGTGAGGTGAGGTGAGGGGGACGCGGGGTTGGCTCCGTCGCTTGGTGGTGGCGAGGTCATAGATGGGGCGCCTGCTGAACGGCTTCGTGGCAGCGGCATCACAGAGGATTAATAAAGAGAAATATGAACATCCCCAATTCTCTCAAAATCTTACGTAAGTTCTTCCTTCCTCATCTTGTCCTTCCCCACATATAAGTAGATAACCGATTATCCAGTGGCTTCCAGGGTGGGGGGGGGGGGCGCCAGATTTTCAAAAACGCCGGATAATCACTAAATCAACATGATAAAAAATGTCCTTGCATTAAATAACGTGGTCTAGTGTTAGTGGATGTGTTTTTTTGTGTTTTTAATGTTTTTACTAAGTGAAATTGTCATTTTTCGATTTAAAGCTTTCGTGACTGCAGGGATTCATCTTCTTGGTTCTTTCGGTAAAGTCACGTAGAATGGAAATAATAAAATAATAATAATAATAAAACATAATAAAATAATTCTCACGACGTTTCGGACAGAGTCTCCTCGACAGACCTGTTCTCCACCTGAGGATGGCTACTTGCGTTGTGGCCGAAACGTCGTGAGAATTATTTTATTATGTTTTATTTTTATTATTTTATTATTTCCATTCTACGTGACTTTACCGAAAGTACCAAGAAGATGAAATGGTCATTAATAAACAAATAGGCTAAAATAAACATTCTACTTTAAAAAGCTACTGAATTTACTGTACCGTACTTACCACTCCAATCTCGAATAATCTGCATGGGGTGATGTATACACGTGCAGTATTTTCATTGTTTAAGTTATATGTGGTGTATAATATACTTGATATAATATTTGACACTGAAATCAAATATACTGTACGTACTTGTGTTTGTATCAGAAAACTATTACAGGTTACTGTTTAGCTTTCTACCAGGTTTAGCTTTCTTTTTTCACACTTTTGTTATGTAGGCCAGGCGTAGTCACAAATCGAACCTCTCCATAATAAAGGCTCAGTCTTTTGTTATGCAGTCTATTCATAGTCTCAAGCCGCACCTTTAATCATTGGAAAGATGTGATTAACCATGCAAAAAAATATTTAATTACACTTATTTGGACCATCTTATTTGGCAGAAAACTATTGCAGGTTACTGATGGACAGCCAATTTTGTTTTACCAGGTTTAGCTTTCTACCAGGTTTAGCTTTCTTTTTTCACACTTTTGTTATGTAGGCTAGGCGTAGTCACAAACCGAACCTCTCCATAATAACGGCTCAGTCTTTTGTTATGCAGTCTATTCATAGTCTCAAGCCGCACCTTACCATAATAATAAAAAGTGGGCCATTCCTGGCCCTTCCCCCCCCCTCAACCATTATATACACGGAGTGGTATCTCCTGTAATCTCTCATTTACTTGATACAGCTGTCGGGCTGTGACGGTTCCACCTGAAGATGGAAGCTTGTGTTGTCTCCGAAACGTCGTGATTTTTATTTTATTTTACTTTTATTAATTTTAATTTCCTTTACATATGTATACATTTTTTCACGACAAATAACTACGGTACTAAAAACAGAAAATGTACACGGTGCTGCCTAAAAAAAGTGCCGTGTAATTCGGCGTTCGCGGGAGCACCCAGTCTAAAGGCTGCATCAGTCGGGCGATCGTCAAAAACATGGTTGTGATGAAACACGAGCGTAGAACTCCGTACATCATCTCATGCGGAGTCGTCGATATTGTCGTGGTAAGTACCATGCAGCAAATACAGTAACTTTTTTTTCCAAAATATTTCTTTTTCCTTATTAGTATATTTTATTTATGCCAATTCCTTATAGTAAACACATTTAAAACACCAAAAAATATATACACAACACCTAATACATACTGTTTAGAAGTAAGCGCAAAAATAAACTATTTTAAATAATAATTTAATGATTATCCGTTATAAAAAAAAAAATACGGCGCCCCCTTCCCCCACTAAAGCTGCCGGATAATTATTGATGATCTACCGTATTGTCCATTTTTTGTCGTCACTGATTTAAAGTATCGTTGACGCGTGATAGGTTTGCACACTTTTTACCCATTAACTAAGACATTGTTGCTCTATGCTTTTGTGCTTCCAGATATTTAAGATCGAACTCCGGAGCTTGAATGAACCGCGGGTGAAGTGGATGGGAGACGAGTCCAAGTGTGATGCGTCCATCTCCATGAGCAACATCCAGAACGACGACTCTGGTCCCTACCGCTGTGAGGTCACACTTCTCCCCTCTCTCAAACAAGGCAGCAAGACTCAACAGCTGAGAGTACAAGAAGCATCACCAGGTCTGTATCGCATCCGCCAATAGTAATATTTGAACGTATTTGTAGTTACACCGATAGTGTGTGGTATATAAAAAAAATTAATCGAAATAAAACAGGTCCCTGCGGGGTGGGCTGGTAGGAACGAATAACCAAAGAATATAAACATAATGTATTATTAGACTTGTTTAGCCAGGAAAGCCGCACTGATTCTAAAGGTTTTTGTAGGGTCCTGCCAAGTGTTTGCAGTAGGGGGCGATGTTGCTACACCTAATCGGACGATACGAAGGGAGAGTTTGAGGCCTACTTCTAGGCTTTAGGCCTAGCTGTAGGCTTTAGGTCGCTGTGAGTTAATTTTTTATTTAAATGTTTTAATTATTAATGTAAAAGCTTTAAATTTAAATGTTTCTATTTAAAAACATCAGGGAATGTAACATTGTTAAACATTAACTCCCTTTCACACACGCGGGGGTACGATATGAAGGGAGAGTTTGAGGCCTAGTTTCTAGGCTTTAGGCCTAGCTGTAGGCTTTAGGCCGCTGTGAGTTAATTTGTAATTTAAATATTTTAATTAAAAACAATGTCAGGGAATTATAAGGGAATGTTACACTTGTTTAGCCAGGTAGGCCGCTGTGAGTTAATTTGTAATTGAAATGTTTTAATTAAAAACAATATCAGGAATTATAAGGGAATGTTACACTTGTTTAGCCAGGAAAGCCTCACTGAGTCTAAAGGTTTTTGTAGGGTCCTGCCAAGTGTTTGCAGTAGGGGGCGATGTTGCTACACCTAATCGGACATCGGACGGACGGACGGACGGACGATATAATCTATTGTAGGCTGGTTCACTTCGTTCCTACCAGTATTAGTATTTTCCCTCTATTCGCACCACAGTAAGAAAATCTTGTCGAAATAAATTCGTATTTTCCCTCTATTCGCAACCACAGTAAGTAAATCTTGCGGGGTGTTGGTGGTGGTGATAATCGAAATCAGTTTCTCGTGATTTTGAAGCGGTCAGAAGATGAGTGGTTATGAGCGGCCTGAACACAAAGCTTATTCACAGTCTGATGCCATATAGCAGCAACCCAGCATGATGACGATTGGCCGGCTCCATGTTCCAAAGGCAGATTTCTACTCGTGCCCGAGACTTGGTCGGACGGTTCTTTGATTCAACGGGACCTAATTCAACGGTCAATATTGATCTTTTTTAGCAAGTATCAGTAGTCTTGGTTCTTTCGGTAAAGTCACGTAGAAGGGAAATAATAAAATAATAAAAATATAAAACAATAAAAAATATTTTTATTGTTTTATATTTTTTATATTATATATCCCTGCAGTCACAGAAGCTTTAAATCAAAGTATCAGTAGACTGAATAAACCTTCGAATCGTGTCAAACGTTGTGACAGGGTCAATAAAAGATTGAGAAAGAGATTTGGTTATTAAAATGTATATTTTAGACTGTTAATGAGGATCAGTGTATTATCATCTCCCAGTGGTAACATGGATTTTTCTCTCGGTCCTCCGGTTTTCACCCCCACATTTAGAAACAACGTCACAACGTGTTCAGAGTATTTGGCTTCAATACATTTTGCGACGTGATGATAATCAACTTTGTTGAGCTATCATTTGTGATGGCCAGATCGGTTCTGAAAGAGAGTTATGTAGGTCTATGGGGCTTTACTGGTAAAACAATATATAGTTTTTATATTTTAGTTTAAAGTCTCTCTTACCAATTCAAGACAATTGAATTGTCCTTTCTGTTCCAATCTTAACTCAGGGCATCCCAGAATGTCCTGAAATACATTCTAAAATAAGCCATGCATTGTCTTTGAAACTGATTGGCCTACGCCAGAGACAGCCTTCGTCATGGCCTTGTCTCATCAGTGTCAGACTAAAAAACGGCACGAGATAGGAGCGCCAAGGGGGCTAGGAGATGTTAACTACCTCACCTGGTATACAGGAGGTCGTGGGTTCGATCCCGATCATGAAGCCTGTTATAAATTTGGAGTTTGTGTATCTCTCTCTCCCCGTGGTTGCGTGGATTTTCTCTGGGTTCTCCAGTTTTCCCCTCCACATTTAGAATCAAAACGAGTTTCAAGAATGTATCTGTTATAAATGTCCACATTATAACCCACTTCGTTGAGTTTTCATTTGTGGCCAGGTTGCTTCTGAAAAAGAGCTAAATGGCTCAGTGAGCCTTAACTGGTAAAATTAAAAGAAAAAAAGTCCACAGTTTATTTTTATTTTTTAGGACGCTTCACTTGAAACTGCCCAAATCATCTTCAGGTCAAAAATCAGGAAGCAATTTTTTTTCAACAGCAATCAACACGCTGAATGCTAGTACTGTATATGTTACAATTTTATGTATTTGTCAATAGCAGGCGGCAAGGGTCTGACAACACAAATACACACAAATTTGTTGTTACATTTCAATTTACAGATTTGTTTGCGTATGTCTGTATGTATTTCGAACTTAAATTTCACCGTACGTAGCCAACCATGCTAATCAGATGTGCGGGGGAAGGACAATAAACTTAACACAACAACGAGCAGTTTTGGCAGCATTCATGATGTGGCTTGAAATACCAAAATCAGGGCAGGGAGCACGCGAGCAACACTACCAAGAGGACAGCATCTACGGAATTCAATTTGCGACTCTCAGCAACAAGGCGTCCCAGTTATTGTGAATATCACGGCCCAAACCATAAGTGGTAAGCATAAATGTGAAATTCATCTTGAATTTAACAGGGAGCTGATGCAGTGGTTTACGAAATGGAGTGAGTGACACACACGTGCATGTGTGTGTGAGAGTGTCTGAGCACTCTGGCTGCCCAAAAAAATGTAACCAGTTAGAGCCAACGTCGCTTGGAATCAGAAAATCCCAGTTTTTGTGATAGGAATCTAACCGAGAGATATCAGAGGTACGAAACATCTCAGCATTTTTGTTAAGCAGAATGTATCACAGTTGGGTGATGTCCCTCACCTTCTCAAATGAGGTCTTTATATTATAACTAATATGGGAATCTAAAAACCGTTCTGGTCTCATGTTCATAGGAGTTGGAGTGGTGATATGGGTTGGGGTAGTGAAAGGGATTGGGGTAGTAATGTACAGTATGTATGTATGTTGAACTTCTTTCGCATCGTACGTAGCCAACCATGCTAATCGAAGGTGTGGGGGGAAGGATAAAAAACTAAACACAAAAAGCAGTTCAAAAGAAATTAGTTTTCAAATGAGATGATTAGAAAGTGCATAGCTTCACTGGGTTCCTTATATCGGAATGAAGAACATTCTAGAAACGCATCTGAAAATGCTTGATGCGGTAACCGTCTTTGTTTTATGGTTATCCAAACGCCGCTGTGAGTATGACCAGAGTTAGCGTGATGGATTTGATTATCATTGACGAGATCAGCAAGGTATTGACAAGATCAGCAAGTGATAGGGGTAGGGTAGTGATAGGGGTAGGGTAGTGATAGGGGTAGGGATAGTGAAAGTGGTAGTGATAGGTGTTCTAGTAGTGGTATGGGTAGTGAAAGGGGTTGGGATGAGGGCTTCAGTGTGGTCAGACTGAGAGTCTCCGAGACTAGAGGTGAGACAGGCGGATGGACGCACCCGCAACGGCTCGAGTTGTTTGGTGTTTTAATTCGAACGTGGCCGTTGGATTTGTTGGATGAGCAGCAAATAGAATGGATACTGGTGCTGTTTGGAGACACACACACACGTATGTAGAAAGGATGGACAATGGGAAAATAAAAAAGTTGGGTAGTGTTGTTCTGAAAAATGGAAGTAACCGGTAAGAGAGGGGGATTTTTAACAGAGAATAGCTTAACGACGACATTCGGAGATTGGTGCCAGAAAGATGTGGCCACTACTTGAGCCATATTGGCACTACAAGACAGAGGAAAGTGGAAACAAATGACTAAATGTGCAATGAACACACAACTACTACGGGCTATCTGCCCATGGCTCCTATGGTGTTTACCTCCAAATTTAAAATCAACGTTACCAGTTTTAAAGTATTTGGCTGCTATGCATTTCCGTGTGATAGCTATATAGTCAGTCACTTCTGAATAAGAACTACATAGCTCAGTGGGCCTTGAACCTTAAAAAATATAAATTGTTTGTTTGCATCAGTGGATTCATCAAGGACGTGTCACAACACTCAGTCAATGCTACCGAGGGCCTGGGTTCGAATCCAGGTTTCTTCCTCACCTGGGCCATGCAATGAGTGTGCGGTCGTTTCAATTTTAATCAAATATATCCTGTCTGGTTTTATTCATAGTTCTGGTAGTCCGTGCCCCTGAGGAAGTTACGGCGGTGCAAGGAGACACCGCCTTCCTGCCATGCTCCTACTTCTGTGGCGTCAAGGGCAATAACGACACGCTGGTGGAGTGGTACAAGACCATAAACGGAGAAAAGAAAAAGGTCAGTGTTGGCGAGTGGTGCATTGCAAGCAGCGCGTTCCTCCCGTTCCCCCCACGGGTGAAGACATCTCTCTGGAGGCATGGCTGGATTCCTTTATTGTAACGAGGTTCTCTTCTGCTGAATCTTTGGGGTGGCATAGTACCACTGCGCTGCTTGAAGCGAGTAGTCTCTCCGCCATGCAAGAGCAAGCACCTACGATTAGATACGGTTGGCTATGTATGGTGCAAAAGAAGTTGTCAATAATACGATGCAGCATCCCCCCCTCCCCACTCGGTGGTTAAAAGGGAGCTGAACTCAGAAAGGTGGAGGGAAAGTATGAGCACCCAAAGGCCTCATGTAGATTATTTGTTTTCATGGGATGTGTCTTTGTCCCCCCCCCACCATCTGCCCTTTATCCAATTTCCTTCCCCCTTGCTGGCCTAGATTTTCCCTCATTAGGTTGGGGTTTTACTTCCCCTCAAACTATCTCAGCCATGACAACCTCGACTCTCACTCCCTGCATATGGCTGGCTCAGTTTCATCACGACAGTTCTTCTCCTCGTGCGATTGGCGACTCCCAGGAGCTTTGTGAACCATGCAAAGGGCTGTAACGTGCCTCGCGTTTTGTTAAATAAAAGGCAAAAACATATACCAATACGAAGTCACCTGGCTACGACTTGAGCTGATCATCGCCACTGCTCTTTGGTGGTGTGGTGAGTGTGGGGAAAGGCGCTGCCCTCTCTGTGTGTGTGGACCAGGTAGAAAGGAAACCCTCATAGTTAACGGCGGTCATCCAGCTCCACGTCAATTTAACAGGAAGGATATTCTCAACTAATATTATTATTCGTGACGACGTGTTTTTGGGTTAGATCGCACGAGTGAATTTTAGGGCGGAAGTAGGAAGACTTATTCACAATTCTGGCAATCGCCCGATGATGGTGCTGGTTGTAATCACCAGCGAAACGTCACAATTACTCGCATTGTAAACATTGTTGTGAGTTTAACTCTCCAACACAGCCGCTGTGCTGAAGTAGTAACTAATTGTCACGTTTTATTCAAGTGACTAACCTCACCGATTTGGCTTTGTCGGGTGGAGGTAATGTTTACAACACATTTACATTTATGCGATCTAACCCAACAATAAGCGTTGACATGGATCCACGTTAGTTCTCTCTAAAATGAAAGGTTGGCACTGCTCTGCGAGATTTTAAAAGCGACACTTTACTCCTTGACATGACACCAATAACACAGTAAGGATACAACCGGGTGTTGGGGGGGGGGGGAGAAAAACATTTCATGACTTAAAATGTCACACCCCTGCTGGACCAACACAACTCAGTGCAGCCTCCATTCTGCGTAGTTCCCATGCAGTCTGAGACAAGACAATTCCCCAGCAGTTGGTACGTTGCTGGATGCCATTGGAATCAAAGTTAAAAACAAAGATTAAATGGGCTCAAAGATTAGCATTCGTCAGCAGTAATGAGCTCTTCATGATTTCCAATTATCTCTCGACAGTGAAGAGAGAAAATAGAGCGTTGAAACAGACGCCCGTGACGATACTGGCGTGCAGTGTGGTTGCTGTGCGGAGCAGGAACTTGAAATTTTAGAAAGGAAGACAAGACGCTCGGTGAAGTCTCGAGATGTGGTTATGAAAATCAGCAAGATTAGTATATTAACACGCTGTACGAGTTAATGAGTAAGTTCTTGAAAATGTTAAGTAGAAGTCAAATCTTCTTGGTTCTTTTGGTAAAGTCTTTACCGAAAGAACCAAGAAGATGAATCCCTGCAGTCACGAAAGCTTTAAATCGAAATTTAGGAGTCAAATATAATTTAAAAATGCGGAAGAGGCAATATATATGTTACAATGTAGGAGATGAAAGCGTGATGAAGCAAGTTCTGGAAGGTAGGTAGGATGTTGAAAAAAGAGGCCAAGAAGAATACAACATAAAATGTTGCTTCACAAATTGAATGTGGGAAGGGGTGAACAGTGAACTGACAGCCTCCTGATTCACCAGACAGCTGCCAATTCCACAGAGGATTAATAAAGAGAAATATGAACATCCCCAATTCTCTCAAAATCTTACGTAAGTTCTTCCTTCCTCATCTTGTCCTTCCCCACATATAAGTAGATAACCGATTATCCAGTGGCTTCCAGGGTGGGGGGGGGGGGGCGCCGGATTTTCAAAAACGCCGGATAATCACTAAATCAACATGATAAAAAATGTCCTTGCATTAAATAACGTGGTCTAGTGTTAGTGGATGTGTTTTTTTGTGTTTTTAATGTTTTTACTAAGTGAAATTGTCATTTTTCGATTTAAAGCTTTCGTGACTGCAGGGATTCATCTTCTTGGTTCTTTCGGTAAAGTCACGTAGAATGGAAATAATAAAATAATAATAATAATAAAACATAATAAAATAATTCTCACGACGTTTCGGACAGAGTCTCCTCGACAGACCTGTTCTCCACCTGAGGATGGCTACTTGCGTTGTGGCCGAAACGTCGTGAGAATTATTTTATTATGTTTTATTTTTATTATTTTATTATTTCCATTCTACGTGACTTTACCGAAAGTACCAAGAAGATGAAATGGTCATTAATAAACAAATAGGCTAAAATAAACATTCTACTTTAAAAAGCTACTGAATTTACTGTACCGTACTTACCACTCCAATCTCGAATAATCTGCATGGGGTGATGTATACACGTGCAGTATTTTCATTGTTTAAGTTATATGTGGTGTATAATATACTTGATATAATATTTGACACTGAAATCAAATATACTGTAGGTACTTGTGTTTGTATCATACGCACTTGGTGCCGTTCGCCGGACCTGGTTAACAGCCTTTGGAGCGCTTTTTGCCGGTTTCTCCGGATCAACCGGATAATTTTGGAAGCCGGATAATGGGGCAGAGCCTCAATCTCCCTCCCTCTAAACCCCGTAGCCCCAGAGTTGGGGACCTCTGTCCCAGCGGAGATTCTGTAGCGTCCTTCCTCCCTGCGTCGCGGTTCGTGCTCCGTACCGGGCTCATGGTCCACCCTAAAACCACATCACCCACTGCATAAACCACGGCTGCAGAAGATGCGGATACCTGATGCACAAATGGGTAATTATAAACTTTCCAGGAGTATGCGACTGTGGTCATCCAGAGCTGAGACCGTACAATGTATGACGACGTCAAAGCCCCAATCCACAAATACGGAGGAGAGATCACAGCCATATACTCCACTCCTCCTGACGCAGTTATCTGGCTTGACCACCCGAATGTGACATTTTAGTTGTTGCTCAGTATCTATATCAGCCATATGAAAGAATAAGATTGAAATACAATAAAAACTATTTTAAAAAGAGAAATATATTTCAATACGTGATGAGCAGCATGATTCATGTACAGATTACCATCGATTATGCAGTGCGCGATTATCCAGCTTCCAACATTATCCGGCGGTCCCGGACTGATCCAACGAAATTGGCAAAGGCGGGTCAATCGGCACCGTGTGCGTGACGAAAAAAAGTAGCTATTCTTGATTTCAGTGTCAAATATATACAGTTCATTGTACACTCCATCCAGCTTGATGAAAATGCTGTACGTATATATGTGTAACAGGTTCCGGAGACACTTGTAGAGGTAACTTCTTTATTACAATCCAACACTTCAACAGTCCTGATACTCTGTTACAGCCTAGGTACACAGCCTAGGTACACAGCCTAGATACACTACTCTGGCTACGCTCTGGAACTCGCCCTCACTAGGACGTAGAGCAGGGAGTTCCAGAGTCCCACCACTGGCCCTCACATCGTCCCAGGGTCCTGAGATGGCTGGTCTTGGGTCTTGGGTCTTGAGCTACAACTGGCCTCGATCGTCCAGGGAGCTGCCCTTTTATGCCTCGTCCCCAACGAGGGGTGGGGTTGTGGTCGCCCCCAGATATCCCACAGAGCACACACAGCACCCCCCCCGTTGGTGGCGCCAAGGGGCTTAAGCATCTGGATTGCCTGGGAACCTAGCGCCTGGTGCCAAGGGGCTTAAGCGTCTGGGTTGCCTGGGAACCTAGCGCCTGGCGCCAAGAGGCTTAAGCGTCTGGGTTGCCTGGGAACCTAGTGCCTGGCGCCAAGGGGCTTAAGCGTCTGGGTTGCCTAGGGTCCCAGAGTCCCCAGCAGTCCCTCCCCTCTTATGTCACTACATATGTATACATTTTTTCACGACAAATAACTACGGTACTAAAAACAGAAAATGTACACGGTGCTGCCTAAAAAAAGTTCCGTGTAATTCGTCGTTCGCCGGAGCACCCAGTCTAAAGGCTGCATCAGTCGGGCGATCGTCATAAACATGGTTGTGATGAAACACGAGCGTAGAACTCCGTACATCATCTCATGCGGAGTCGTCGAGATTGTCGTGGTGAGTACCGTGCAACAAATACAGTAACTTTTTTTTCCAGAATATTTCTATTTCCCTATTAGTATATTTTTATTTATGCCAATTTCTTATAGTAAACACATTTAAAACACAAAAAATATATACACAACACCTAATGCATACTGTTTAGAAGTAAGCGCAAAAATAAACTATTTAAAATAATAATTTAATGATTATCTGTTTAACAAAAAAAATACGGCGCCCCCTTCCCCCACTAAAGCTGCCGGATAATTATTGATGATCTACCGTATTGTTAAAGTATCGTTGACGCGTGATGGGTTTGCACACTTTTTACCCGTTAACTAAGACAATGTTGCTCTATGCTTTTGTGCTTCCAGATATATAAGATCGAACTCCGGAGCTTGAATGAACCGCGGGTGAAGTGGATGGGAGACGAGTCCAAGTGTGATGCGTCCATCTCCATGAGCAACATCCAGAACGACGACTCTGGTCCCTACCGCTGTGAGGTCACACTTCTCCCCTCTCTCAAACAAGGCAGCAAGACTCTACAGCTGAGAGTACAAGAAGCATCACCGGGTCTGTATCGCATCCGCCAATAGTAATATTTGAACGTATTTGTAGTTACACCGATAGTGTGTGGTATATAAAAAAAATGAATCGAAATAAAACAGGTCTCTCCACATTTAGAATCAATAAAAATATGTTTTTATTGTTTTATACTTTTTATTATTTTATTATTTCCCTTCTACGTGACTTTACCGAAAGAACAAAGAATATGAATCCCTGCAGTCACAGAAGCTTTAAATCAAAGTATCAGTAGACTGAATAAACCTTCGAATCGTGTCAAACGTTGTGACAGGGTCAATAAAAGATTGAGAAAGAGATTTGGTTATTAAAATGTATATTTTAGACTGTTAATGAGGATCAGTGTATTATCATCTCCCAGTGGTAACATGGATTTTTCTCTCGGTCCTCCGGTTTTCACCCCCACATTTAGAAACAACGTCACAACGTGTTCAGAGTATTTGGCTGCAATACATTGCGACGCGATGATAAGCAACTTTGTTGAGCTATCATTTGTGATGGCCAGATCGGTTCTGAATAAGAGTTATGTAGGTCTATGGGGCTTCACTGTCAAAAAAATATAGTTTTTATATTTTAGTTTAAAGTCTCCCTTACCAATTCAAGACAATTGAATTGTCCTTCCTGTTCCAATCTTAACTCGGGGCATCCCAGAATTCTCTGAAATACATTCTAAAGTAAGCCATGCATTGTCTTTGAAGCCGATTGGCTTACGCCAGAGACAGCCTTCGTCATGGCCTTGTCTCATCAGTGTCAGAATAAAAAACGGCACGAGATAGGGGCGCCAAGGGGGCTAGGAGATGTTAATTACCTCACCTGGTATACAGGAGGTCGTGGGTTCGATCCCGATCATGAAGCCTGTTATAAATTTGGAGTTTGTGTATCTCTCTCTCCCCGTGGTTGCGTGGATTTTCTCTGGGTTCTCCAGTTTTTCTCTCCACATTTAGAATCATAACGAGTTTCAAGAGTGTCTGTTATAAATATCCACATTATAACTCACTTCGTTGAGCTTTAATTTGTGGCCAGGTTGCTTCTGAAAAAAGAGCTAAATGGCTCAGTGAGCCTTAACTGGTAAAATTAAAAGAAAAAGAGTCCACAGTTAATTTTTTATATAGGACACGTCACTTTAAACTGCCCAAATCATCTTCAGGGCAAAATTCAGGAAGTATTTTTTTTCAACAGCAATCAACACGCTGAATGCTAGTGTAATAAAAGACTCGGACGCTTCTCTCTGTCCTGTGTCCTTTATTTGGGTTCGATCTCTTTTCCCTCACGGCACTCCCCCTTACTCTTCGCTCTGCAGCCCCAGGCTGCTATCGCTCACGTAGCCCACTTCCCTCCTTGCAGACCCGCTGCTGTCTCGTCGTGCAGACCCCCGCTGCCCAACTCCATCCTTGCAGACCCGCTGCTCTCTTTGCAGCCTCCTCGCTGCTCCTCCAGCCCCGGGGTCGGTCATCGTTGGCCGACGGTGCCGATCCTCGGGGTCTGTGTGTGTGGCGATCTCGCCACTCTCTCTCTTCCCCACTCCGCCCTGCGTGGCCTTACACTTTCCCAGTCTCCGATCACTCCCCTACTGCTTCCGGTTTCCCCCCTTATAGACCTGAACCCTCTCCCCCACGTGACGTAACTCCTCCCCCCATGACGTCACCTCCGGAAGGTCGTCCACTGCCCGCATTACACTAGTACTGTATATGTTACAATTTTATGTATTTGTCAATGGCAGGTGGCAAGGCTCTGACAACACAAATACACAAAAAATTGTTATATTTCAATTTACATATTTGTTTGCGTATGTCTGTATGTATTGTGAACTTAAATTTCACCGTACGTAGCGAACCATGCTAATCAGATGTGCGGGGGAAGGACAATAAACTAAACACAACAACGAGCAGATTTGGCAGCATTCATGATGTGACTTGAAATACCAAAACCAGGGCAGGGAGCACGAGAGCAACACTACCAAAAGGTCAGCAACTACGGAATTCAATTTGCGACTCTCAGCAACAATGCATACCAGTTATTGTGAATATTACGGCCCAAACCATAAGTGGTAAGCAGAAATGTGAAATTCATCTTGAATTTAACAGGGAGCTGATGCAGTGGTTTACGAAATGGAGTGAGTGACGCACACGTGCATGTGTGTGTGAGAGTGTCTGAGCACTCTGGCTGCCCAAAAAAATGTAACCAGTTAGAGCCAACGTTGCTTGGAATCAGAAAATCCCAGTTTTTGTGATAGGAATCTAACCGAGAGAAATCAGAAGTACGAAACATCTCAGCATTTTTGTTACGCAGAATGTATCACAGTTTGGTGATGTCCCTCACCTTCTCAAATGAGGTCTTTATATTATAACTAATATGGGAATCTAAAAACCGTTCTGGTATTATGTTCATAAGAGTTGGAGTGGTGATATGGGTTGGGGTAGTGAAAGGGATTGGGGTAGTAATGTACAGTATGTATGTATGTTGAACTTCTTTCGCACCGTACGTAGCCAACCATGCTAATCGAAGGTGTAGGCGCTCTTGCAAGGTCAGCAGGCACAGGCAAAGGCGCGTCGGCAGCAACAGACCCCGGCAAGGCAATCTCAGGAGATGACGCATCAGGTCGAGGGGCCACGTATGGTTTCAACCGAGATGTGTGGACGAACCAACGCCGAGATCCAAACCGAACACGCGCCGACTGTGGGTTGGGAACCTCAATGAGGCGAACCGGCCCCTGCCATGGTTTGTGCAACTTAGGAGAGGTACCTGGCCGCACCTGTGGACAATGAAGCCAGGCCAGGTCCCCCGGTTTCCAGGGGCATTCCCCTTTTGAACGTCGTGCACACCTCTCATTCTAAGCCTGGGCTTTGGCCGTAGCCATGCGGGCCCCTTCCCGCGCCACGGTGACTCGGCGAACGGTGTCCTGAATATAGTCAGGAAGAGGCTTAGCAGGTCCCCTCGCTCCGGTTCCCAACTGTTCATTAATCGGCGGTACGTTTTCACGACCGTACATAAGAAAAAACGGCGAATATCCTGTAGCCGCGTGTGGCGTCATCCGGTACGCAGAAAGCACCCCAGGGATATGCAAATCCCAATCCGATTGTTTTTCACTAACCGTATGGCACAACATGGCGGACAGAGTCCGATTTAGCCGTTCCACCATACCATCCATTTGCGGGTGGTAGGGAGATGTCCTGAATTTTCTTTGTTCCAAGAGCCGCACACACCTCCCCCAACAATTTAGACGAAAAATTCCGGCCTTGGTCCGTAAGGAGCCTCTCCGGCGCCCTCTTGTCCATAACATACCCAAATAGAAAGGCGTCTGTGATAGACGCCGCTGACTGGTCAGGCAAGGGCCAGGCCATCGGCCAGCGGGAGAGGTACTCCACCCCTACCAGCAAATATTTATTTCCCCTAGCGGATGGCGGAAAGGTTCCCAAAATATCTAACGCCACCAACTCATTAACTCTAGACACTTGAATAGATTGTATAGGCGGCACATATGGATGTGTAGGTGGCTTACGGCGGGCACAATCGGGACACGCACGAACGTGTCCGACGACATCCGTCGTCATGCCGTGCCAATAGTAATCTCGCTGCAGCGTCAATAGGGTCTTTTGCACCCCCAGATGTAAAAGCGTGTCACAATGCAGAGTCCTAATCAATTCGTACCGCAATGATGCCGGTACAACAAGACGCCAGCGTTCCTGTATTCCATCCCTCCACATCAACAAGCCATCACGGAGAGCAGTTTCCGGCACACCCCCCGCACAGAGATCCCCCTCTCCCTTCACTGGCCGCTTACGTAATGTCACCAAAGAATCATCCAACATTTGTTCTCGGATCCACACGGACCTTGGAAGATGTAAAATGCCATCAGCCGGTCCCCCATCAGCCGGCCCCGGCTCAAGCGGAGCTTCAGGCACCTCGACTGCCAACGCGACAGGCTGAGGGGGGTGCTGAATCGGGCCACACCTATGCGTCCCCGACGCACACGCGCAAGGGGATCGCTGTGGCAGCATGGAAAGTGCGTCCGCATTAGCATGACGCACTCCCTTCCGATGGTGAATTTGGAAGGAAAATTCTTGCAGCGTGTCCAACCACCGCGCCAGCTGGCCAGATGGTTGGTCCATTTTAAGAGCATATTGCAAGGCCGCATGATCCGTGCGAACAATAAACGAACGGCCGTACAGGTACGGTCGAAATTGGCGGAGAAAAAAAACAATAGCCAAAAGTTCCCTGCGTGTGACGCAGTAGCGGGTCTCAGCGGGAGACAAAACCCGGCTACCATACGCCACCACGCGTTCCACACCACCCTTGGACTGAGACAACACCGCCCCAATACCCGTGTCACTCGCGTCCGTATCCGCTGCCTAACTCCACCCTTGCAGACCCGCTGCTCTCTTTGCAGCCTCCTCACTGCTCCTCCAGCCCCGGGGTCGGTCACCGTTGGCCGACGGTGCCGATCCTCGGGGTCTGTGTGTGTAGCGATCTCGCCACTCTCTCTCTTCCCCACTCCGCCCTGCGTGGCCTTACACTTTCCCAGTCTCCGATCACTCCCCTACTGCTTCCTGGTTTCCCCCTTATAGACCTGAACCCTCTCCCCCACGTGACGTAACTCCTCCCCCCATGACGTCACCTCCGGAAGGTCGTCCACGCCCGCATTACACTAGTACTGTATATGTTACAATTTTATGTATTTGTCAATGGCAGGTGGCAAGGCTCTGACAACACAAATACACAAAAAATTGTTATATTTCAATTTACATATTTGTTTGCGTATGTCTGTATGTATTTTGAACTTAAATTTCACCGTACGTAGCGAACCATGCTAATCAGATGTGCGGGGGAAGGACAATAAACTAAACACAACAACGAGCAGATTTGGCAGCATTCATGATGTGACTTGCAATACCAAAACCAGGGCAGGGAGCACGAGAGCAACACTACCAAGAGGTCAGCAACTACGGAATTCAATTTGCGACTCTCAGCAACAATGCATACCAGTTATTGTGAATTTTACGGCCCAAACCATAAGTGGTAAGCAGAAATGTGAAATTCATCTTGAATTTAACAGGGAGCTGATGCAGTGGTTTACGAAATGGAGTGAGTGACGCACACGTGCATGTGTGTGTGAGAGTGTCTGAGCACTCTGGCTGCCCAAAAAATGTAACCAGTTAGAGCCAACGTTGCTTGGAATCAGAAAATCCCAGTTTTTGTGATAGGAATCTAACCGAGAGAAATCAGAAGTACGAAACATCTCAGCATTTTTGTTACGCAGAATGTATCACAGTTTGGTGATGTCCCTCACCTTCTCAAATGAGGTCTTTATATTATAACTAATATGGGAATCTAAAAACCGTTCTGGTCTCATGTTCATAAGAGTTGGAGTGGTGATATGGGTTGGGGTAGTGAAAGGGATTGGGGTAGTAATGTACAGTATGTATGTATGTTGAACTTCTTTCGCACCGTACGTAGCCAACCATGCTAATCGAAGGTGTGGGGGGAAGGATAAAAAACTAAACACAAAAAGCAGTTCAAAAGAAATTAGTTTTCAAATAAGATGATTAGTAAGTGCATAGCTTCAATGGCTTCCTTATATCGGAATGAAGAACATTCTAGAAACGCATCTGAAAACGCTTGATGCGGTAACCGTCTTTGTTTGATGGTTATCCAAAAGCCGCTGTGAGTATGACCAGAGTTAGCGTGATGGATTTGATTATCATTGACAAGATCAGCAAGTGATAGGGGTAGGGTAGTGATAGGGGTAGGGATAGTGAAAGTGGTAGTGATAGGAGTAGTAATAGGTGTTCTAGTAGTGGTATGGGTAGTGACAGGGGTTGGGATAGTAATAGGGATAGTGATGAGGTTGGAATAGTAACAGGGGTAGTCATAGGGGTAGTGGTAGTGGTGTGGGTCGTAATCGGGCTTGGGATAATGGTAGGGGTAGTGATAGGAGTTGGGGTAGTGATTGGGTATGATGGGGGTTGGGGTAGTGATATGATTTGGGGTAGTGATATGATTTGGGGTAGTGATAGGGGTAGTGATCGTGGTAGGGGTAGTGGTAGGGGTAGTGATAGAGGTTTTTGTAGTTGTAGTGATAGGGTTTGGCGTAGTGATAGCGATAGGGGTTGGGATAGTAATAGGGGTAAAGGTAGCGATAGGAGTTCTGATCGTAGTATGGGTTCCAGTATTGGTATGGGTAGTGGTAGGGATAGTTATAGGGGTTTGCATAGTGGTAGGGGTAGTGATAGGGGTTGGGGTAGTGCTCGTGGTCTGTGTAGACATAGGGGTTGCAGTACACCTGGTCGTAGCTGGAGGGCATTGCCAGGGAGCAGCAGTGGCAGCAGGATGGGCTTGGGGAGACGAGATGGGGGTTGTTCCAAGGAACGGAAGTTGCAGGTTGTGGTTGTTAGAGTGATGAAGATGTTTGCTCTGTGCGCTGCAGTGGAGGAAAAAATAAATAAAATAATTCTCACGACGTTTCGGCCACAACGCAAGCAGCCGTCCTCAGGTGAAGAACAGGTCTGTCGGAAAGACAGACGCTGTCTTTCCGACAGACCTGTTTTATTTTTATTATTTTATTATTTCCCTTCTACGTGACTTTACCGAAAGAAGCAAGAAAACCAAGAATATGTTTAACTTCTTTCGCACCATACGCAGCCAAGCTGCTTTTTAAATCCTTTATATTAAGTTCGCTTGCTTGCTTGCGTGCTTGCGTGCTTGCTTGCTTGCTTACGACCGTGCAAATCTTTCGGTCGTTTTTTAACCCACTTCCCGTGATCCAATCGAGCTGACATTTTGCACACAGACTCGTTGTGCGAGACAATTAATGTTCGTGAAAATGTTTTTCCAAAATTTTACACTGTTTAGGGAAAACAAATTAAATATTTGATTACCAATTGCTTAATACTGGCAGACAATCATCTGACCCATAGGTGGCAGCCATCTCAAGCCAGAGGACGAGAGGACTCTAGCCGCCACGCATATAAAGGATTTATAGTGAAAAACTTTGTTTTTACGGGTTATACTTATTGTATTTAGTTTATTGTCCTTCTCCCACTCCTCCAATTAGTATGGTTGGCTATGTACGGTGTGAAATAAGTTCAACATGCATCATTATTATTCTTTAAATCCTAAGGCCTTTTTAAATCCTTTATTAAATCCTTTATATTAAGTTCACTTGCGCGCTTGCTTGCTTGCTTACGACCGTGCAAATCTTTCGGTCGTTTTTTAACCCACTTCCCGTGATCCAATCGAGCTGACATTTTCCACACAGACTCGTTGTGCGTGACAATTAATGTTCGTGAAAAACATTTTTCCAAAATTTTACACTTTTTAGGTCAAAAATATTATATTTAATTAGTAATTGCTTAATGCTGGCATGCAATCATCTGACCCATAGGTGGCAGCCATCTCAAGCCAGAGGACGAGAGGACTCTTAGCCGCCACGCATATAAAGGATTTATAGTGAAAAACTTTGTTTTTACGGGTTATACTTGTTATTCCTCCAGGTATACGCTGATAAATATAACGGCACATTTTTGGCCATTTGACCGATTGGTCTAAATGAGTCGTAACCTTGTGACACTCAAACTAGATTTGAAGCTTTCGTGACTGCGGAATTACTCTTTGGTTCTTTCGGTAAAATCACGTAGAATATAAAATAAAATTATAATAAAATACGACGTTTCGATTACAACACGAGCAACCGTCATCAGATAAGAATGAATTAGAAAACCAAACATAGTAAACTTATAAATATAATGCAATACAACACAGTCGGCTAACACAACAATCAACACCCCACCTGGTTGATTACGTTCTTCCAAAGATTGCTAATTCTGAGAGAGAGGCAAAACACAGACACGGAGACGCATAGACAGACATGCAAAGAGAGACACAGACATACAGAGAGAGACACATACCTCATGTGAAGGTGTCCTGGCTTAGTTGAGAAGTTACGATTTAAAAACAAACTATTTGTAATTTACCAGGTAAGGCCCCACTGAGCCTTGTAGCTCTTTTTTTCGGAAGCAACCATGGCTATCAAATGATGGCTCAACGAAAGTGGCTTATCACGTGGAAATTTATAGCACCCACAAACTTTAAAATGTTAACCACCTCGCCTGGTATACAGGAGGTTGTGGGTTCGATCCCGACCCCTTTATGCCTGCTGTATATTTGGAGTTTGCGTGTCTCTTTCCCGTGGCCATGAGGAGTTTTCTCCTGGTCGTCCTGTTTTTTCCCTGATTTAACATTCCACGATAAGCTCCTTCATTTTTGTGGCCAGGTCCGTTCTGAAAAAGAGCTATATAGCTCAGTTGGCCCTACTTGATAAAGAAAAGTTTAGTTTTACGAGATAGAGATGCAAATTGGCATGAATGAAACTACATTAAAGGTATTTATTATTATATGTCACTTGCCAGTTATGTTAGCCATGGAAGGTAATTGAACTCAACACAAAGGTATGAACCACTGTGCCACTGCCTGTATAAACGTTTATGTGCGTGTACATATTGCGAATACGGGAGTGTGCATGTGGCGTCTTCTGTTTGTGAATTCAAATTCAGAGGAGTTGCTCAGCGGTTAGCGCTACGCTGAGCTCCAGAGCCGTTTCTCGAGTTCAATTCCCACTCCCGGCCAACACCAGTGACGATTATTTAAACCGGTCATGGGCCTCCCCTAGGTTGACTGAGCCTCAAATCAGTACCTGGTGCGATGTGTAAATATCAACTCTGGGAGACAAAAGGCGGTCGGGCGTGGTGCTGGCTACCCACCCCTTCGTGTGCCATGCCAGCACTTGCCTCAACAGTCTGTTAAGGCTATATGGGGGATTTTGTCTTTGTGGGGAGCGGTAGTGTAGCAGTTAGCAAGCTGTGCTACGAATCCGGCGACCCGAGTTCGATTCCCTGCTCAGGGCCAACACCGGTGACGATTATCTGAACCGATCCTGGGCCTCCCCTAGGTCGACTCAGCCTCAAATGAGTATCTACACCTCGCCACTGGGGAGACAGGTGGCTAGGCGTGGTTCTGGCCGTTAGGGCCTTCATAGGTGCTGCACTTGCACCCAACAGTCTGTTAAAGCTATACAGGGGATCTTTGATCTTTAATCTCTGTCATGTTGTTCATGCGTGTGGATGCGTGCCCATTAGATCCAGTTCCTTCAACAACCACAACTCCGACCACAACTCCAACCACAACACCAACACCTGGAGGGCTGAATGCTGGAGGCATTGCTGGGGTCAGCATTGCTGCTGTGATTGGAGTTGCTGCTGCAATTGGTGTTTACTGCTGGATGTCAAGACGTGACAGACCACCAGAAGAAGTCGTCCAGTGAGTGAAATGGCGTTAACTCGCTTTAATGAACGTGCTTTCCATGAGGATTAGTGATAACGGACAATTTGAAATGGTTTATACATTTTGTTTCCCCCCACAAAATGAGCAATCGATTTATCGACGTGTGTCCTGTGGCGGCAAGGTGTCGTGCTAAAACTTACATCTCATATTTTAACACGGGCAGGCGTGGGGGAGGGATTCGATGGGAAAACGACGATCACTTAACAAGTTGTTTTGCCTACCGAGCAGTTTTCTCACTCGTTATGCCCCGTACTGACTGCCAACTGCACTGTGATGGGCACGGTGAGTAGTGACACGTGGCTCATAGTGGCCGTGACGGAGACCCCCGGGTCGGCACCACTGAGAGTCCAAGTCTTTCGTGTCTTCATCTTTCTCTCCTTGTTATCTCTGTCTCTTTTCTTAGGGTATTATTTTCTTACGTTTTTTCCTTCATGCCAATGTATGTGTAGTGGCGGTGCGCGCCGACAAGGTGGGGGCGTGGGTGGGCGTGGGTGTGCGCGCGCCGGGCGTGGCTACATCGAGTGTGGGGGGTGTTGACGCACACTGACAGTGATGGATCACGGGGCGGCGCTGGGTGCGTGGTTGTGCACGCAGACACGATATGGGAAAGAGGATCGTAGAGAGAGCGCTGGGTGATTGGTCAACTTGGGTGGGTGCTCTCAGCGACGTCCGCATGGAGGACTATAAAGGGGGACGCGCGAGAGCACTCGGGGAATTATTACCAGCTGAAGATCGAAGACGGAGTTGAAGAGATAGGGCCCTGAGACCCTAGCCCCGCTGTCCTTGTAAGGGCCGGGACCCTGTGCGGCTCAGAGGCGAGGCTGTGGGACCCGGGGCCTGGTGTCCATGTGGAACCAGGTTGTGGGACCCAGAGTCGAGACTAATAACCCAGCCGGGTGTGTTCCAAGAAGCTACGGGGCGTGAGAGCCCGTGTGGGTATAGCTCAGGGGAACCTCGTGGGTTATGTGGCAGTTGCCACCCGTGTAACAGTTTGGTGTTAATAAAAAGGTGTGCTACCCGTCAAGGTCGTCTCCCGCCAAGTGACTACTTTACAACTGGCGTCAGAAGTAAACCTGTCTTCACAAACGATGGATACCAGGAAGACTACCCGAACCCACGACCGAGATCGGGGAGACGACGACGTACCGGAGCCACAAGCATCGGGAGGCGAGGAAGATGAGACGCCACCGATGCAGCACCGTGCGGCGATGGACGACGCTGCGCTCGCCTCCAACACCGGCCTTCAGGAAGCACACTCCCGCCTGGCGGAGTTGTTGCTCGCCGCCGCTTCTTCGATTTTGTCCGAAATCACGGCTTCAGGGGCCGGGACGGCGACTACGAGGGTGGAGGAGGGAGTGCGGCCGCCAGGATCCCGCCAGAACGCGCTTCACGCCAAAAGTTTTGAAATTGGCGCCATTTTCGAGGGTCCACCTGCAATTGGCGGGAAGCGTGGACACCACGTGCTCGGAGACATCCACTCCACACAGCCCGCGTCATTGGCGCGCGACGAGACTCTCCACCATGCGCCTGCCGACGGAGCCGACATTTTCATTGACTACAGCGGTGCGCGGGAAAAACATTCTTCGGGGGACGACGACCAGGTCCTCCAACAGAGACTGCCCGCGCTCACGGCGTTCAAGGCCGACGGGGGCGACTGGGGGGCCTTCCAACGAAGGTTCCTCGCGCATCAGGAGATGTCGGGGTGGTCCGACACCACTGCCCTACGCGCGCTGCCGGCGATGCTCGACGACGACGCACTTGCGGCCTTCACATCCGCCCCAAGGTCGTCCCGCTCTACGCTGCAGACCGCGCTACATCTCATGGCTAAGGTGTTCAGACCGCCCTCGACCTGTCGCCACCAATTTTACGAACGACGTAAGGTTGATGGAGAAACTACACTCGCCTATCGCACATCGCTGCTCGCCCTGGCGGACGCCGCCTTTCCACGCATGGACAAGGAGGGGAAGGACGCCATGGTGACGGAGCAGCTGCTGGCGTTGGCACACGGGCTGGGAGTGCCCATAAATACAGCCGATGAGATGGACATCTGCTCCTTGGGGGTGGCGACAAGTATTCACACACACGAGGTCCTCAAGCGAAAGCGGCCGGTCATCTGTGCATCGGCGGGGATCGCGACACCAGCCGCGACGGGCGCCGAGCCTCAGACTGCGACGGTTCGGGAGGAGGCCTTCACCGTCTCAAGACCGGGGGAGTGGAGATCGGGGGGTCGTTCGCCCGTACGATCCCGCAAGCTGGAGCAACCGAAACCTACGACGTCCATGGTCTTGTGTTACAACTGCGGCCTCCGGGGTCACGTCGCGTCCGGGTGCTGGGCTCCGCGTCAGCGCGCCTCGGGACCACGTCCGGACGACGACCAAGGCCCCAAGTCGTCCCAGCAAACCCCGGCAAGTCGCGGCACCCCACACGCTCGGTCCACATACACGGCACACTCGGGTCGCCGCTTCGCGGTGGGGGGACCGCGTATGGGTACCGGGGATTCGGTTCGGCGAGGGGGGTTCGTACACGGGCCTGGGGCAGTCGAATGGTCAGAGTTGGCCCACAGGATAGTGGCTGCGTCGGCCGGGTCGTCCGTAGTAACGGGGTTTATTGACGGGGTCAAGGTCCGGGTGCTGGTGGACATGGGTGCGTCGGCCACCATCATTTCGGACCTTATTTATAACATCCTCCCCGCCCAATGCCGACCCCTTCTCCCGGTGGACGTACCGTTTTACGTGGCGAACGGAGGATCCTTGGGAATAATCGGACAGATTCGGGCCACTATTTGTATTGGTGATATCAAATTGACGGGTCCCATTTTTGTGTCATCGTCTCTGGCGGTTCCTTGTTTACTGGGCACGGACTTTTTGGCTAAAATGCCCATTAAAATTCTCATTGATCAAGCCTGCATTGAACTTCCGTCGGGTCGGCGGGTTGCATTTTTAACGAGTCCTACCAAAATACGCACGGTTTGTGCAACGGTTCAGGCGCTGGCAACTCAGACTGTGCGGGTGCCCCCGGGATCGCAAATGTTGGTACCCCTGCGGTTGCGAAAACCCCTGGGGATCGACGGGGGGGACCAGGGAGTCCTGTTAGGGCCATCTAACAGAGCAGTTGGGGGCCTGGACTTAGCAGTAGCTCAGACCATGGTGCGGACAGAGATCCGTTCGTGATGGTTCTGAATACGGGGCCGCGGACGGCTGTAATTACTCAGGGCACGGTGCTGGCTCACGCGGCGCCGCTGCCCGTCGACGGAGGGCTCGTTGCGCATGCCGACTCCAGCCTCGATACACACCCTCCATCGGATGAGGGGACAGAATGGCTCGACTCGTTGTGTGCTGGGTCTAGCGACTTGTCTAGTGTGCAGTTGGGAGCGTTGAGGGGCCTGCTACTCGAATTCGCCGACATCTTTAGCAGACATAAGTACGATATTGGCTGCACGGATTTGTTGCGCCACCACATAGCGACCGGTGATGCGGCCCCTATTCGGCAAAATCCCTTCCGGCTCAGCCCGGCCGAGAAGGAACATGTGAGATCAGCTGTTAACGACATGCTGGCTGCCGACATCATTTCGCCCTCTTCCAGTCCGTGGGGGGCTCCCATTGTCCTTGTTAAGAAACAGGACGGCTCCTTGCGGTTTTGTGTGGATTTTCGCCGCCTAAATAAAATCTCTATGGCCGACGCGTATCCACTACCTAGGATGGATGAGTCGCTGGATGCCCTGGCGGGAGCACAGTATTTTTCGACGCTTGACCTGCTTTCAGGATTTTGGCAATTGCCCCTCGATGAGGAATCAAAACCTAAGACTGCTTTCCGGACACCAGGAGGCCTATTTGAATTCAATCGCTTGCCCATGGGCTTACATTCCGCTCCTGCCACGTTCCAGAGGCTCATGGAATTGGTTTTGTCAGGACTCCAATGGGACACCTGTTTGATCTATCTCGATGATATCATCGTTTTCAGCCGGACTTTCGAGGAGCACCTCCAGCGGTTGAGAGGGGTGTTCCTCAGGATGCGTTCCGCTAAATTAAAATTTAAACCCGCGAAATGTCACCTGCTCCGGGAATCGGTCCGGTACTTGGGCCACATTGTTGGCCGTTCAGGGATATCCACGGACCCTGCTAAAACGCACTGTGTCAGCTCATGGCCAACGCCAACCTCAGTCACGGAAGTCCGCAGCTTCATAGGATTCGCCTCCTACTACCGCCGGTTTGTCGAACATTTTGCCACCATTGCCAGGCCCCTACACGCTTTGACGGCTAAAGGGGTAAGGTTTCACTGGGGCCCAGATGAGGAGGCCGCGTTCTGCTCCCTTCGGGACGCCTTGGTGCGAGCTCCCCCCTTGTGTTACCCCGATTTCACGTAACCGTTTCTGCTTGACACGGATGCCAGTAACACGGGTATCGGGGGAGTGCTCTCACAGGTGGTCGGGGGGGTCGAACGGGTGGTCGCCTACGGTAGTAGAGTTCTGTCACCTGCGGAACAACGCTACTGTGTGACTCGTCGTGAATTGCTTGCGATCGTTTTCTTTATACAACAATTCAGACCATATCTCTACGGACGTCATTTTACTGTTCGTACGGACCACGCGGCTCTCCAATATGCAATGCGGGTGGCGCAACCCTCCGGCCAATTGTCCCGATGGCTGGAGGTCCTACAAGACTACCAGTTCACGACGATTTACCGAAAGGGATTGCGGCACTCGAATGCGGATGCCTTGTCGCGGTTGCCGCCTCGCTCGGAATGCGCGTGTCTTCTGGGATCGGCGCGGTGTAAACCCCCTGTCACCGCTCGCGCCGGAGTTTTGCTCGCCGCCACTGATGCTCCAGAGGTTGTTTTGACCGCCGCTCTCACGTGCGGGGACTCGCTGCTCGCGTTACCTCTTATCGAGTGGGGCCGTCTCCAAATGGCCGACAGCTCCCTACTCACGCTACGGCGGAAGGCAGAGGCTCCCGAGGGGGGGGGGGACGCGGGTCAGT